ATAACACCACATCATCTCCTCAATTTCTGGGGCAGCAGGTAACAAGAAAAGTAGAAAAGGATCAACTTAATGTAAGTGAGGGTCAGCAGGGGGGTACCAACACTGTTCTGAGGAAACCAGACCCACCTGCAGAGCACCCAGGAATTATATAGGAACTGCTAGTCACACATTGTGAGTGATCTCCGAGTCTAAACCAGTTATCTGACACTGGCATAACAGGTGGATTTCATGATCATACAGAACAAGACAATGGAGTAAGAATGTGGACTTAAGGTACTCGCAAGCCACTGAGACTACAGACAGATATCTGATGCAGTGATCATACGAGCACATGTATTTATCTTCAGAGGTCAAAGACCTGTTTCACACGTACCCAGCACTTTAGAGATAGGTGGGGTTGAACAATAAATGTCTCATCTCTAAGGGAGGGAACAAAACAAACTGGCTATTTATGATTTACAAAAGAAAAAGAGAATGTAATTATTTTAAAGCAGCCCATCACAGACAAAAGCGTGACATTTATTAGCATGTGTAATAGGCAGGATAATGGTTCTTGCACCACACCAGCAAAGACTGTGATGTTGGCACATTAAATGTGTGTACAGTCCATGGCAGTGGTTATTTTTCCCTGCAATCAAACAGCACAGCATGGCTGTGTTTTTTGAAGTTGGACCTTATCTGGTTGTGACGATTGACCTGTTCTGTGATGTGAAATGAGAAAACTTCCTTTTTTAACATTGATTGGTTGCCCTGCCTTCTGACATTATTTAAAAACAACACAGAAAGAAACAATAGAGGGCAGTCTGTGCCCAGCCCTGCCTTTAGAATTTAGAGAAAGGGTATTGAATACAGGACCTAAAAAGTGTCCTGCTGAAGCTGTGACATAAATACTGTACAAAACAAACAGCACCAGCAGCCTCGTACTTGGGCTCATCAGTACATACTTCACCCTGAAATCAGGAAATCAAGAAATTAGCAACTGCTCAATTACACAAAAAGATTTTTTTTAAATCTAGGATTACATTTTTGTCACAGTACCAAATACTCCTCTTAAAAGACAACCTATCTGATAGAACACCCCAATAGTAAAAGCAATCAGATATATGACATCTAGTCATATGAGCTTACAGCTGTCACAATTTTACCTGACGGGAACCTCTGGGCAGTACTCTATTGCCGTTGGTGGTGATGCAGCTGTGTTCAGGTCCCATTTGGAAATATCCATTCCTGGGAGCTCAGTACAGGTATTATTATCCTTTAAAGGAACAAATAATAGGTTTACTCCATGTTGAAAAGAGAAGAAAGAAAACACAATGTTTCGGCCTTGGAGCCTTCTTCACCTGGAATTGGGTTAAATTTTTTTCTGTGTTATTAATGCTAAATGCTAAAAAGCAGAGACGAAACAGCAATCAAGGAGTGACAAAATATATGGCTAATTGACACCATTTATTTTAAGACTGAATTTGATTGATTAGAAATCGATATTCTAAATTGAGCCTCAGGGATGTAAAATAACAGGATTTACATATGCTTCACTATCCCAGTTTAAAGCTCTTATTTAAGACATAATTCTGAGCGATAGAATGTACAGCATGTATGTTACAGTACTTTCTTGTACAGCATAATTCTTGGGAAACACCATAGGCAGCCCTATCTTTGCTGCACCCTCCATTTACCTCCCTGATTCCGTCTCTGGGCGTAACAAGTCCTTCTAGTTAACCGTCACCAACAGAAAGCAACATTTTCACACATCAGGGTGCAGTACATTCGATCCCAACCCTAAAGTGAACACACCTCATGTTGAGGTCACTTGATGCTGTGTTACATCATTATTTTACTTCTCCTCACACGTTACAACACAATAACTCAACACGTAAACCTTTCAACTTGCTTTAATACAACTACACCTCCAAAAAGATGGTCCTGTTGATCCACTCTATACAGTTTAGTAATTATGAAGCTGTCTACGATAGATAGCCAACGCCTGCAAGCTGAGTAGGTATATAATGATGCTGGAGAAACCAGTGATATGCACTGTACAGTATATGCTGGGTGTCAGTCAACATGGCACAGGGCTGCTGTCAACCTGTACCAACCTGGGACTATGAGCTACTTGGATTCTTGGATGCTTTGTGACTATATCAGTATATCAAGCACGCTAATTTTGCAAGGATGTTTATTAGGTCTGCACGCTTTCATTCTGGATGAATGTATTTGGATGAAGAGTTCCACATCTGTATCACAAGATTTCCTAAAGAACAGATGAAGTCAAACAGTTACTCAGCCCCTGTTATACTGATGAAGATTTCAAATCCATTCAGGCTTTCTTATCCTCTGGGGGAAATGTGTTTTACAGCAGAGTCCAACACATCTGTACAACAAAAACAAACACCACCAAGAAAGAATACAGCACAACGGTGTTTCAGGAGATAAGAGGTATTTTACACAAGTTGAGACTGGGGTAGCAACAGTGATAAAAGATTTCTGTTAGTTGAAATGTTGGTTGGTTTCAATTAAAAAACTGAAAGAAATTCGCGGAAAAGTAAGACTTTTTGCATGACTATATCTAATAGCCTACAAGCTGAATAATTCCTAGAACCGGATTGCTAAAGGTCTTTGCAATCCTCTCTCTTGTAATTTGGAAACACACTTCGAATACGCAAAGCCAAGCTATTTCCGGTCCTGGTCATGGGGCATGTGTATCTTCTAGCTGAGCCTCCAGTTGCTTCAGCACCACCTTAACTGCAGTGAGAATAATGTACTTAAACACCAGTTTTGTAGACATAATGGGCTTTTCAAGCGAAACAATATAGCTACTATGGAAAATAAAATGGTCTCGCTCTATTATGAAAACCATCTATACACCTATTTTCTAAGTGCTTCACCCAATTCAGGATCACAGGGAGCCAGAGCCTGTTCCAACCAGCAATGGGTGCAAGGCAGGATACAGTCTGGATGGGATGCCAGCCCGTCACAGTGCAGACAGAGGCCTGAGCACACTCACACCTAGAAACAATTTCCCCCGAGGCCAGTTAACCTACAGTACCAGTATGTCTCTGAACGGTGGGAAGAAACAGGAGCACCTGGAGAAAACCCCTGTGAACGTGGGGGAGAACATACAAACTTCATGCAGATCAACACCCCAGGAGTAGAATTAAATCCAGGGTTCCAGCGCTGAGAGGCAGCAATGCTAACCCCTGTGCCACCATTCTGCACTACTATTATAATACCATTAAAACAAAATAATAATGCCTTTAATGATGATTACACAGCACAAGTGGAATCCTCCCAGAAAACGAACTAGGAGGAAAAAAATCTCTACTTACCCTCATCACTGACGTGTGGCCAAGACACTGAGAACAACAGCAGTGGCTGTGGAATGCTTGGCTGTTCCAGTTGTCCCTGGAAGGTCTTGTCATGAATTATGAAGCCTGGAATCCGGCTGACAATTCTAACGGAAGAATTGCCAGTTTCCCCGGAATGTACCCGCTATGTCAGGTGTTTCTGCCCAGCCCTGACTAACCAATCTTCCACAGCAGTCACAGAACCGGAGGAACCAGCTCAAAGGGAGAGATACGGCAGATCTGCTGGGAGGATTATCTGAGTCCCAGGGCTTCACAGGTGTGAGTGCAGGAAAAACAAAAACAAAGCCAAACAGCTGAGGCAGTCCACAGCGCCCTGGTCACAACGGCCCTGTGTGTGTGACAACAGACGCAAGCACAACTGTGGACGTATTTATTAAGATGTCACTGGCATTGCTGCTGTCTGTGCATCAGCACAGGTGTGACCACGTTCTTGTTCATGTTTTCTGGATCTCTTTAGATCACTCCTAATCAGCTAATGTCTCCAGAAAGTCAATTTTCCTGGTAAGGGCAAATGCAAGCCTGAACTCATCCCACAAGGACAGAGCTTTTTCATGAGGAATGATTTCAGGAGGCCCAGAAAAAATCCCTTTCTTTTATAAATGGGTTTATAAGAATTTTGCCCATCAGTGTATGTTAAACATTCAGTCTCAGTTGTCTTTAACAACAAACAACTGTGGCTATTTAAACAACATAAATATTACATATGTACACACACATTTCATACAAAGATTTGTTTATTACATTAGAATGAATTGGTTATTGCCATTGCTTGAAACAATATCAGTAAATCAACATCCTGATATTCTGCAGTGGCACAGTGAGCAGCGGTGTCATTTCACAGCTACCGGTTTCTGGGTGTGTAGTGTGTGCGTGTCCACCCTGTGTTTGCTTGGGGTTTACCTGGCCGGCCTGATTCCTCTCGCTATCTACACGTATCCTGTCTAGGTGAACTGGTGTCTCTGGATTGTCTCCTATATGCGTGTGTGAGACCTGCGTGTGGAACCCCTGTGGTTCCACCTTGCACCCTGTTCAGGTTCTGACCCACTGTGATCCTCTAGAACAGGGGGTCCCAGTTTTACTCCTGGGGACCCCAAGATTTTGGTGGGTTTTGTTCCTTGTCGGCTTGACTGGAACAAAATCCAATCAGTGAGGGGTCCCTCGAGCCAGAGCTAGGACATCCTGCTGGAGGATAAAGCTGTTATGGGAAAGGATGGAGGTGAATTCTGCACGACAAGGTGGAGAATTCTCAATGCAGGATAAACACTGCTTCCTGTGCTACTGTATATCATTATTCCATCATGACAAATCCACTTAGATGTGTACACGTTCCCCACCACCTCTGTTTATATCCCCGGTTGTCAATGAAAATGAAAACAAAAAACAGAAAATACAAGGAATTTTATAATAAATATTCTGCCACAAAGAATGAAATGAGTATGACTTTTGAAATGCTTAATATAAACATACACTACATGCTGAGAAAAGATCTCACAACCCAAGAGTGAAAGAGATAAGAGAATAAAAATCATGATACAAATATTGATCAATTTATGGGGCAATGTTAAGGTTCCAGTTATAAATCACAACAGTTTGCTGAGAGTTTCCATGGCTTTGTGCAGCACAAACCAATTTCCTCCTCTTAGCTTTCAGCTGCCCAGTTTCGATGGGTTTTGATGTGCATTTTGAGTCCTCAGGAGCAAAAAGAAAATGAAGAAAAAAAATCACACCTCAAGCGCGTAGCGAACTGCATGTGGCTGCTTAATGCCACACTCTCTCCAGTGCTGAGCAGCAGCTTGGAAGAAGGGAGGGACATGGGGGCAGCTGGACTAGGCTGAAGGACTTGAGGGGCTCATGTACGAGTGGTCACAGTGTGAGTCACTCCCGGACTGTGGACAGCCTCTGCGTTTCTCACGTTATGGGTGCTGTACTTCTTAACACGAACAGAGCCCAGAGCAGGTGGCATCGTCACATCCTGCTTCACTTTTTGGAAGCCAGTACTGCAAAACAATAGATCGTTGGAGGGGGATCAACAAAGTATCAGACCTAGACTGAAGAATTCAATAAATCAATAATACTAGACAGAGGAATGATAAAGCTGAGCTTCAGCAGGCTGCCAGTTGTGAATTGCAGGTTGATATAGCAGCTGTCTGATCTTAACCTTACTGGATATCTTACCATCTCAGGACAAAGGCCGTGAGCAGAAAGAGCAGCAGGATGGCAAGCAGAGAGGACAGGATGGACGTCACCACGATCATTCCTCCCGATCGCTTTCCGATCCACTCATCAATACCAGCAGAGTCGCTCACTGAGAAGAGACACATGAAGCCCAGTAGAACATCAGACCCAAGCATGACTTTGTGCTAAAGGGTTTGCCAATGACTTGCATGTGTTTATTATGTGAAAGAAGCAGCCATCTTTTCATAAAGTTTCAGATTAAGAAGAAATGCAAATAAACATATGCTATTCTTAAATTACTCACACCCTTTTCAAGCACATCATACATTGTATCATGCTGTTATTTTTGTACTCCTCACCATATGGAATATCCATTTTCTATTTTAGTATGCATTTTTTAGATTTTTTATGTGTCGATCTTGTATCTTGTTAGTTGTGTGTTGCCCAGGGGCACATGTAAATGAGCTTTTTAGCAAAGTTTGGTGAGCTATCCCTGCTACCTACAATAAACTAAAAGAAATAAACTAAACTAAATCAGACTGTAAAGAGCAGGGAGCATTCACACAAACCTAAATGTGGATCATGGGGACATAACCCTACATGGACTGATACTTACACGCTATCAGAGAGATGGGACTGGACCACTGTGACTCAGATACCACCTGTTTTGAACCAGGATCCAGGAGAACATACTTTGCTCTGAAACAAAAAGGAGAAACAGCACTTTTTACCACATTAAATAATGAAGAACATTAGGATACTTCAGGGAACATTTTAATTATCCTATATTAGTGTTATACCAAGGAGCTGAGGTCCACTAGCTTTGAAATATTAAGTCTGAATAACTAGTTAAACATAATTTATCATTTCTAACTGATTTCTGTATCTCATTTAATAAAAATAGTAGGCTTGGATTTCCTTTAAAAAGTATAGGCTTTTGCTCATGATGTTAAACTTTTGGGTAAGGAGGGGAGGAGGCTGGAGTAAGCAAAAAGACAGGGTTCTCTGATTGTAATTATATGGTTGAGCCCTCACATGCACACAGTGGCAGAATATTTGCAATTGAATGAAGCAGAAGGAATTACCTTTTATCTTTTATCTTAATTTGTGCTTTATAACCTCAGGACGACCATTTTTAAGAGATACGTCACAGCAGACGAAAGTGACCTTGTCTCGTTACCTGACAGTGGAGCCAGCAGGCAAGATCCCATTGCAGTTGCTGGTGGAGCACAAGCCCTCATCCCCAACTCTGAAAAACCTGAAGCCTGTGGACTCAGCACAGGGAAACGCATTCTGAACACCCAGCTTGGTCAAGAAGTAATTAGGTGAGGAGTTATTTCTGAAGGCATCTGGATAGGGGGAGCTCATCAAGACACTGGTGTTTCCTTTAATGGCTTCAAATTTTGGGACTCCTGTATTTGAGAAACAAGTATCTAACGTCATTTTACTGCCCACGACCCCAGTGGAACAACCCTTATACTGGACTTGATAACTTAACACTGTAGAAGAAGAAACCTGAACCACATGTTTTCATGATCTTTTGCTTCTGTGGGGAGATTTTCAAAACGTAATCCACAGAATGTTGCTCATTTATTTCCTTTTTCACAGACCACAAATAATCAGGGGCAAACATTTACTTGTTTTATAAACCCGGCAAATGATACTGTAAGTTACCGTGTCACCCAGACTAGTTCCTGCTGTGCAGAGTCTGAAGATAACTGCAGCCCCACCGCCACCTTCCCAGACAGCTCCTTTTCCCTGAATTCTGGACTAACTGTAACTGTCCTCATATCATGAATGGCTCCGGCTCATTGCAGATATGACCACACAAGCAGTGTTTCGCCAAAGACACTGGACCAGCAGTGACTGGCCAACTAAGGATGCTAAGCCAGAAGCATTTCTATGTCATACAAACAAGAAAGGAAATCTCAGACTGGCTTTTACTCACCATCACCTCTAGCAATGACCAGCCAGATTTCACAGTTATCTGGAGCACAGGGGAGGCCACTGAGGTTGTTGAAGAAACACACAGGCTGTTGCAGTGTGAGGGTTGTGCTGGTGACTCTGCCCAGCAGATTGTGGGGAGTGACTTCTGGGGCATACGGCACTGAGAGCAAGAGAGAAGGAAGTCATCTTTAGGAATATGTTCTGTACTTTAGATTGGCTAATTCACCTCCCGCTTCTTGTTCATCGTGACATTCCAGAGAGACACCAAAGAAAAAGCCAGTTATAGGAGGGGATAAAGGAAATGAGGTAAGGTCTTCTCTGATTGCTATCAAATAGACATTTATTAGCCTCTGAACAATGCATAAATTAGCTGGAAAACTGAGATAAATGACATGTAAAATTAAGAACTTTAAACACAGCAATAAACTGTCCAACACAGAAAATGGAGAAATGGATGGTGCCCCTTATGTGTGACCTTTCAATTTCTCTTTGTAACATTGAATATACAATGCATCTCCCGTAAGGCAACCATAAGTACAGAGAAATCAAGTCTGACGCAGAATTTCAGTGTTGGGATAAATGAATACAGGCAGTGGACTGTCTATTTACAAAACGTAGGTTTACGGCGCTTCCTCGTGAGTTTGTCACGTTAAACCAGTTATAAAAATCTATTAATATGTCAAATCTTATGTAAACTTCCCCCTAGATTCTTTCAGGTTTAACTTTTTCTCTGGCGGTTCTGACTTAATCGTCATAACGAGAAAGCATGATTGCACAAACAGATGCCCAGTGCATTTTCTGCTAAAATAGCGACATACCGACATACTACTGAAAGAGTTAAAATCCCTCATATGAGAATGCCAATTTCTACTGTTTGTACCTACCCCTTCGGCGACCGGTGCAAATGTTATTTCGAATGCATTTAGATAACGGTGCATAAAACATATTGTTAAATTGAGCACCATAAAAGGAAAGTCCTTTACCAGATACGCATGCATTACTTACGGCTTTTAAGTTAAATTAGCGCCATTCAGTACAGTGTAAATTAATTTTCACTGACGCCACCTGCGTTAACATTTTTAGTTTTCCTGTAGGAAAACAGAAAACTAAGTGAAAATAACAGCACAAACTAAACTTTAAACTGATATTAATTTTAAAGTGACAACCTTACCTGTACTTAGACCTTTTGCCACTCTAAACCAGACGGACATAAAGGTGACCACAAGGACAGAGCTCATGGCTTCGGTAGCTGCAGACTGGATAGACAATAAATCAATTTGATTAATTGTTGTTAATCCGGTAGATCAGTCCGAGAGGGTGCAAATAGGAGCGGTTGAAAAGACAGGGTGGGGTGTCGCTCATTCGCGATGTGGTGGATGTTTTAGCTGAGGCGTCGAACCCGAAGGCGGGACAGCAAACCTCACAGAACAGGTTCTTCTTGGAAAAGTTGTGATATGTGTTTGAATATTTCAAGTCACATAATTCGAGTTTTAACCTCTTTAAATGCAGGAAAATTCATCTAAGGAGGCTTGTACCTGAAATTTGTTAGGAAGCTTTTGGACAATCGCCCTTTTCAAGTTAGCAATACATTCCAGTTCTTTTTAAAACCCAATACGAAACTAATATTTAATTATATAATAATATTACATTTACATTTGTAGTGTATTTATTTAGAGAAACCTAGTATTTCTAGAACAGCAGTACTTGAAGATATTTGCTTAGCCTTGCCACAAAGATCAA